AAAGTGTAAGTAGTTGGAAACTACTGTTTTTTTTACCCTTAATATATACTGTTTGTTGAAACTGTTGTTTATGTCTTTCAGATCAACTGTAATATACAGTTGCGAATGAAGTCTCACGTAAACTTTAGTTGCAAAAATATGCATTAGTAATCAATAATGATAGTGATAATAATAATAATCTATTCAGTTCAAACCGACAGACCTTTATCAACCTCATTCAGTAGCTTTATGAAGACGCCACATGCAAAGTGATCCACAATGGAAAGCCCAGTGATGCATTTGAAGTGAAGACAGGAAGGAGTAAGACAAGGCTGCTGCCTACTATCACCAATCATCTTCCTGATTGTGGTCGACTGGACTGAACTGCATCATGCAACAAATTGTGAGGAACGAGAAGATGAGCACACTCTGTTAGACCGATGAAAAGATCACAGAAGATTTTGTTGGATTTCGCCAACGATGATAATTTATGTCTAATATCTAATGTCGCACAAACTCGAAGATGTACAGGCGAAAACTAACAAGTTGAAAGAAGAGACGAGGTGCGGTGAGGTGAAGCAAGGCGAGGCGAGGCAGCGAAAATGGGACTTCCCTGAGTGCATGTAGAGAAGGTATAGGTGATGAAGATATCCAACCAGCCAACCATCATCATCATCATCATCATCATCATCATCATCAACAACAACAACAACAACAACAAGCACCAATCATCGTGAATGGGAGAAATGTAAAGGAGGTAGTCTATTTCACCCACCTACCCACATAGGCAAGACAGCATGGTTTCAACTACAGGTGGTGGCATAGTCACACATGAGGATGTCGGAGTCAGCCAGTCAGTCAGTCAGGATAGGAAAGACAGTAAGGCAGGCTTTCCTGTTATAGTCTGAAATCAGTGTGGATATCTACTACATTTCGCTGCACTGCACTGTACTGCACTGTACTCAACATAAAGCGTGAACGTGATTCCGATTTTCAACACTAATCGCAGTCGAATCAATGATTCCATGTGATGGTTGAGAGAGTCGACGCGTTACGAAAAGTATTTCCAACAAACTACACACATTCATCGACAGTTGCCGCCCACACTTGCTGCATACTGAAGATCAGATTGCCAGAAAGAATAAACAGTAAGAAACTCTGGCTGGTAACGAATCAAGCAAGAAGCTATCGTCCAACAAACATGAAGAATAAGAAAGTGGAGATGGATTGAGCATACATTGAGAAGACCATTCAAGCACATTATTCGCCAGGCACTCGATTGAAATCCAAATGGGATACAACCAGTTGGGCATTCGAGGGTGAGATGGAGGAAATAGTGTGAGGAAGAAATGAAAGGTTATGGGTAGTTATGGAGTCAGGTTGAAGAGACTGAACAGAAAAGAGTGAAATGGCTACGTGCTACTGAAGCACTATGTTCCACTAGGAACTCAAGGGAAAAGTAACAAATAATAATAATAATAGTAATCTAGTTCAAACACATTCGGTAAAATGTATCATTATGAACATCTTGATCCAATTGATCTAATTCAGCGGAGAGTCGCTTTTGGGAGCTCTCATTTTCAAAGCCGTACAATAGCAAATTTATACATCTATTCTAGTGTAAGAATTTGATAGTTAAAAACAATTTGTCAAGCATAGTAGGCAACACAAATTATGTCAGTCATATCCAAAAACCTGATACGTAGTGAATATGAATCAAATTAAATTTGAACAAGAAGTTAAGAAATTTAATTATGCTTAGGCAGAGCATAGCAACAAGAATGAGTAACAAATTTCTTAAGAAGTGAATAGTGTCGAATCAGAGCTGATAGAATTGACAAAAAACAATTAATGGAACGTTAAGTAGGTCAGTTCACAGAAAACTAATGTAGAATGATCAACCAACCAACTTTAATAGCTGAGTATCTATGAGTAGTAAGCAAAATTTAATCATATCTCTTGACACTCAAATCAGATGAATTTGCAGTTCCAGTGTGTTAGAAGAAGATATTTCTCTTCTAAACAACATCCTGATAGGAAACCCAATTCCTGACACGCTTCATAGACAAAAACATCAAACGTAAACCTCGTAAAGAGAACCTTACAACCATCGAAAAAAAGATAATCTATATGAATCCCAACTTCGAAGGTGATTCTGTTGCTGACACACTAAAAAGGAGGACATCAAATGCTGTAAGGAGAACATTCTTTGCATGAATGTTGACACTAGTATCCTCATTGTCGTCCAATGATTTCTAACAACTCAAAGGAGAAACTTTCTCATCTGACCACTTCTATGTGCATATATCCATTCACCTGGTGTTGTGGAGCCAGGTATATAGATCGTTCGATGCAACTGTTATCCAAAAGGTGTTGGTAAGTACTATCCCATGTGGTTATAAACAGGTAATAATGGAGAGATAATTTATTATATATTATTTGTCCCTTGGGTTCTTAATGGAACATAGGGCTTCAGTAGCACATCTCCAGTGGACTCTGTTCTCTGCAAACTTTTGAACCTGGTTCCACGACAGCCCTGAAGCTCTCATTTTTTCCTCATACCGTCTCCTCTATGTCACCCTCAGCTGGGACGCCCAACTCAATGCTTCCCATCTGCATTCCACTCGAGGACCTGGTGCGTGATGTCACCAGTCGGTCTTCTCAGTGCATGCCCAGTCCATCTCCACTTCCTTCTGCATATTTGTTGAGTGATAGGTTCTTGGTTGGTTCGTTACCAGCGAACCAGAGTTTCTTGTTGCTTATTCTTTCTGACCATCTGAGCATCAGGAACGAGCGTAGGATAGAGCGATAAAGAGTGCTATAATTGAACACAGTGTAAACACAATCACCCTATCTCAAAAATCTCCTCGTTTAATGTCATTTATAAAGTGAAAAAAAACTTCCTAAAGGCTGTATGTCTTCGTAGTCTCTGCATCACCCAAGATCTTGGCATCCAAATGGAGAAACCTGAACTGTGTACATAACATAAGATTGTTCAACACATCTTCCTTTCATTGTCTTAGTTTTAAGTCTTCTCTACTCTTTCAACCACAATTTTTGTAATTTTATCGAATAACTTAAATATTTGTTAATCCTGGGTAATGACTGAAGGTGAATTTTGAAGTTGAATAGTGACAGGATCATTCCACCAGTAGTTTACAAGTTACCGACTCAACTGTGAGAAAAAAGCATCACACACGTTTGAACTTCACTTTGATCACCGAGGATTTCACTCAGCTGTCATTAAAAGTATGCTTCCGTTCATCTTAATCACATTAGCTACCACAGCCAGAACGTACTATCATAATCCAAATCGAGCTGAAACAGAGATCACCCGTTATAGTCTTGGTTCGATACTGATCAATGATTGAAGTATTCCAGCATCAGGAAACGTTTTTATTTCGCCCTGAATATAAATTACTTTGAAGTACATAAACTAACCAGTCAAGTTCATTTTCACATTGAATAGTCACTGCAGAAAAACTGATAACATCTTCTCTAATCCTGAGTGTTGACCGTATCCGATCGATCATTTTACAATGTTGTCATCATACTTTGACGCTCAACATCCCGATGTATTTCGGTGGTTGAAGGTAGTTGGTAGAAAGCACTTGTTAGTAGAGAGCATCTTTAGTTCTGAGGGAAGTGTTTTCCTCTCCGAGATTCGTTCCCGTATCATTCAATGCGTAAGTCAGCGATGTGAACGCTGAGATATTCAGATCCAGCGCTTCCTGTTGATTGCCTCTAACATAGCACATTTATAACCTTATTAGTTTTCCTTTGGGTTCCTAGTGGTACATAAGGTTTCACTAGTACCCACTCCGACTTCACTCTACTCTCGTCAGTCTCTTCAACCTCACTCCATGACTGTCCAAAAGACTCCATTTTCCCCACACAATCACCTCAATGTCATCCTCAAACACACAAATCGTCGTTTCCCATTTCGCTTCCAATCGGAAACCTCACCCGGACTGCCCCTGACGTCCGCCGTGTTCTCAGTCTATGTCCCATCCAATCCAATCCAATCCATCTCCACTTCCTTCTTCTGCACATTTGTTGGGCGATAGCATCTTGGTTGGTTGATTCGTTGCAGAGTGAGTTTCTTGCCACTTATTCTCATTATGCTGGCCATCTGATCTGATCTGATCTTCAGTATGCAGCTAGCGTAGGCGGCAACTGTCAATGAATGTGTGTAGTTTGTTGGAAATGCTTTTTGTAACATGTCAACTCTCTCAACCATCACATGGAATCATTGATTTGACTGCTGAGTGCAATGCAGTGCAATGCAGCGTAATGCAGTAGATATCCACACTGATTTCACATTAATTCAGGAAAGCCTGTCTTGCTGTATTTCCTATCCTGACTGACTGACTGGCTGGCTGGCTGGCTGGCTGGCTGGCTGGCTGACTGACTGACTCTGACATCCTCATGTGTGACTATGCCACCACCTGTAGTTGAAACCATGCTGTCTTGCCTATGTGGGTAGGTGGGTGAAATAGACTACCTCCTTTACATTTCTCCCATTCACGATGATTGGTGCTTGTTGTTGTTGTTGTTGATGATGATGATGATGATGGTTGGTTGGATATCTTCATCACCTATGTCTTCTCTACATGCACTCAGGGAAGTCCCATTTTCGCTGCCTCGCCTCACCTCGCCTCTTCTTTTAACTTGCTAGTTTTCGCCTGTACATCTTCGATATTACACATTACACATAAATCATCATCGTTGGCGAAATCCAATGAAATCTTCTATGATCTTTTCATTAGTCTAACATCGTATGCTCATCTCGTTCCTCACAATTTGTTGCATATTCCAGTCCAATGCAAATGATGACAATCACGAAGACCATCGGTTCACTCATATTCAGCTTTTGCCATTCAAACATCATTATCTATTACTAAAATATCAGTTGTATACATTTAAATTATATTTCCTCTTTTTTATATTTATCTATCTCTCTCTGTCTACATCATCCTTGTTCCTGGTGAAAATTAGTCATTTCTACGGCGTAAGATATAATGCACATTTCAATCTCTCGTTATTTCATACTACTGAGTAGTATTATTTGTTATATGGTCACCAAAAGTTATGCAATCGAATGTTTAAATCATTGGATCTCATCTATCCAACCTATTGCCTTCTCCTTGAATCCATGCTTCACATGTAAATATTCTACATTCCAAAGATCTATGCATATTAAATGGGAATGTGAACGTGAATACAACTTGAAAATCAATGTGAGTTCAATTCTCATTTATATTATAAATGTATAGTCATGTTGTCAATCATTAGTTATACAATGATATATCACCTAAAAACCTTACTAACAAATTGTTCTATTACTGGAAGTGGATGATGTTTCAAGATCAGATGAAAATCAGGAGGAAGGGTACCCAAGATACATAGGATCCTCAACAGAGTTGGAATTATGGTAGCATTTAAATCTACAAACTTACTCAAAGATAAGCTTTTTCTGCTGGCTTAAGGATCAGATGATTTTTCAACAGCGGAATACAACCACTTTATCATAGGAAAAGATAAGACGTGGTTACAGTGAAGAAATATTTTCTCTCCGACTCAGTCATTTACTATGCTGTACATTAGTGAATATATGTTACAGTGAGCAGAATGTTCCACAATTATTTCCAGTGAGGAGGCAAAATATATTCAATGTAACTAAAGGAAGTTAATGAATACATATTTGCGTTTAAAGTGGGAAAATAGATAAGGGATTATGAAATTAAATGTAACTACGTAATACAGGATGGATGTATGGCAAAGTAGGGAAGGGGAGGGTTATGAAAATAAACTTGCAATTATGTAATACCGGATAAACCAATGACAGTAAGAAAATAAACAGGTGGTTAGGAAAATAAGATTGTAATTACTTAGTGGAGGTTAAATCCATGACAGAGTGGGAAAATGGATGAGGTATGAAGGGAATACATGTATCGTTACCTGGTACGAAATGAATCTATGATAGTCTAAGCTTTATGATGGCAAAGATGATGGTTGGACACACGTTCTTTAGACGCGTAACTCTGGTTTGAACCTCTGGATGCTTAGTACTTCAGCTATAGACAAGTTCCTTGATCTTACTTCCTTCGAGTGGTTTGATCGAACCGTGTCGAGAATTTTGAATGAGTTCTGGAAAGGGGCTGAGTGGTCCGAGTTCACGAGGTGTTCTGTTACTGAACTGAAGATATATTTCCGTTCTCCCTTTGCCAGCCAGGCTGGGTGGTGTTCTCTGGCACGTTTTACAAGCGGACACATGGTACGGCTGATGTACTCAGTTCCACAAGAGGAAGTAGACTGGTATACACACATTGATGTGGCCCAACACGTCGGACTTGTCTTTCACACATTGACCAGAAAGTTTCTTCATGGAGAAGATGATCTGAAGGTTGGTGGGAAAGTATGTTGTGTTTGAGCATTGTGACAGTCGTTTCGTGAGGATCTCTGGCAGCAATATCATTTCTGAATTCCAGATTGAATGAAGGAATCTTTTTCAGTGTCAAATGTCTTCATTCAGTTTGGTTCTTTGGCTTTGTGTTCTTATGTATGAATGTGAGTGGGAACCCGTTTTCCGAAAGAGTTCGTCGAAGTATTTACAGTTCTCCGTCAACCGTGTCCTCAGTACAGGTGAGGTGAATGAATAGGATTTCTTTTCGTGCATAGAGGGACTGAACTTTGAAAATTGACAAATTGTCCGTTCCACATAGGCCTTCTGTCGATCTATCAACGAAGTGAATTATCGTCTTTTCTTTGGAGTTGAGCATTAAGAAACTGGGTGGATGAGTTTAATTGTGATGCTCTAGTGAATTTAGTTGAAGGGTGGTCGTTGTTGAGTGTATGAAGCAAGTTTACAAGATTTATATTTTCATCATAAACGATAAACGCATCATCCATGTATCTTTTGTATACATGAAGTTCATTGATTGTTGATGATAAATTCATATTGTATACAATAATAGTATATAATAGTATAGTATACAATACAAATGAAGGCTTTATGATGGCCGTGGCAATGATAATGATTCATTTTCCTTCTCTGTCATAGATTTAACCTCCACTAAGTAATTACAATCTTGTTTTTATAATCACCCGTTTACTTTATTACTGTCATTGGTTTATCCGGTATTACATAATTGCAAGTTTATTTTCATAACCCTCCCCTTCCCTACTTTGCCATACATCCATCCTGTATTACGTAGTTACATTTAATTTCATAATCCCTTATCTATTTTCCCACTTTAAACGCAAATATGTATTCATTAACTTCCTTTAGTTATATTGAATATATTTTGCCTCCTCACTGGAAATAATTGTGGAACATTCTACTCACTGTAACGTATATTCACTAATGTATAGCATAGTAAATGACTGAGTCGGAGAGAAAATATTTCATCATTGCAACCGCGTCTTATCTTTTCCTATGGAGAGATAGTTTCAACTAGGTAAAATAATCTTATCTATCAAATTCCATGTAATGACTGTGAGGTCAAGAACATGGGTCAAACTAACCAGTCAGGGTCAATTAGAATAGCGGATGTAAGAGTTTAGGTAAACGTAGAATGACAGACCCGAATAAGATTAATAATCTAGAAAAAATGTGGCACATGCACACACTACCATACAATAGAATATGACAAAATCACAGTACATAAGTCGAATATAATTAGGTGGAGAGAGACATTGATTTGAAGGTTATCTTGACCGACAATGAACTGAATGGTATGAGACATTGATTATTGAATCTTTAGTCATCGAATCAACACCCAGCCAACACGTGTAATAGGAATGACGCAACACCTACACCAGAGAAATGGAAAACTTAGCTACTAGTTGAATCAAAGAACATCAGGTGAGAGGACTGTAAAACTGAGATGTTGAAAATATTGCGATTACATCGATATGATTATGAGCAATGATAATTTATGCTTGAAATGTCATCACTGTGTTTTGTAAATTAGATAGACAAATCTTATATGGACATAGTAACAAGCAAAGCCATATAAATTGTCATTACCTAAAAATACATGGTTGCTTAGATTATCCAGTGTTACTCAAGGTGTCATAGGAATTAAGTAGAATGGTAATTAAACCCTAATAATCAGTTGCGTAACAAGACAACATATTTGATGAATGAATTGTCACCAGAATGGGTATAAAATAGCTGAAATTACGTAAGAAATCGACAGAATGAAAGAGTTAGAAAGAAATTGGGGGGAAGGCTTTTTTGAAACGCTCAAGATTAAGGTCATGAAAAGAGTTCCAGTATCGACATGATGTTCCATCATCGCACATTGTATAGTTCCACTGCTACTCCTTTTTAGCCATGCAAGATTGTGTTATTCAATTCTTTCTGATATATTAAGCTGGATGCGAACAAGTGAACTGATCTACACATCTAAAGATGGCCAGATTTTAGATCTTGTAATTCAGAGTACTGCTAAGTAAAGGGATATCAGAAAATACTACTTTCAAAGTTGTTGCAAAGATAGTTGTCTTCTTGGAGCTTGAAATTTTCCCCGTTAAAGTGTCATCAGTTGGTTAAACTTTAAGGTCAGAGTTCATACAAAATTTTAGTCATATTGATGTTTTTATCTATGAACTGAGATGAATATACTCAACAGTGTACACTCACAACTACACAGATTGAACTCAGAAGCTACAGATCTGATGGTAAACGCGTTACCATTGAACCACAAATTGGAATCTTATGATTCATATTTTTCTACTTCCGTCAGTTTGTGATATAGCGTGACTTTTAGCCGATAGAATCCGATTTGGTTTGCCTTGCTTGTCACTACTTGTGATTAGAACTTCAAGGACCACATCTCGAAGTTACTTACCAATAAGAACTGGACAGTAATTGAATATGGAGCTTTGTGTGGATTTATTTATTGGTTTAAATTCAGTATTCATCCCCGATTGACAACACTTGATGAACCATTGAATTTATGATCAAGTCCGATGGATTTTAGGTTCTTGAATAGTTTAGACCTGACAGATAGTCCTTGCTTGTCAAAGACAGTAAGGATGTACTCCGTAGATATTTAATGTTCATTGGTTGATAAGTCATAAAGCGCCGATGACCTTTGGGAAATATTTCGCTTTAGCTCTGGAATGCGTGAATCAATGACGTTTAAGAGACTTTTTGTTAAATCGTATACATAGTTCTTTCTAAGTACCTTCTAAAACCCTTTTGAATATTCATGATGCTTCATTAAATGTTCTTAATAACAAGTCTTTGCATTCACTACAATAAGCTTAAGAGAAAAGTGTAGAAACCCGTTGAGTTCATTAACCGACGATATGTACTTACTACTTTTCAACTCTCAAAAAATCCCCATAGAGACATGAGAAATTAGGCAAAGAGATTCTTTTCCGGATATAAAAGGTTTCACTTAGTAGTATCATCAGACCATCTACCAATGGATATATATCCTACTAGATTTCGAGGCACAGAATGTACAACTTTGAGTTTACTCCGACATAGCGAATAAAAAGAGGACGGGTACGAAGTGACGTATCGGTTACCTACCTAGCTGAAAAGTTGCTGTCACTGTAATGAACAACACGCTTAGCGATACAGCTAAAAGTCTCTAACTATATTTTGTGACTTCCATGTACGTCTGGAATCAGATTCATTAGATAAATAGAGAGAAGATTATCTGAGTGAATTCTTTAATATTTTGAGGGAGTTGTGGGGATTTGGAATATTTCAGTTTTCCAGATTTCCCAAGTTGTTATTCATCGTAGACTGACATCAGTTCGAGGAACAAAGGAAACCTGGAAGCATTGGACAGCTGTTTCGTCAGACTAGTATGGGACTCCACAACAGTGTGCACACACGAAACCGCCCTCACTGGATCGAACCCGCCACCTTCAGGTCCCGTGGCCAGCGCGTTACCATTGAGCTAGCCACTGTGTCAGAATCCAATGCTTCATATTTCTAACATCTAATAGCTCACGATATAGCGCAATCGCCAACCGATGTGATGGTTGAGTAGCCGTCCTCATGACCATCAGGCTTTGCCCCCACCGGTCACGACTTCTCATTGGAACATTGGAAATACCTCTCGAAGCTAGCCACCAATGAGCAACAGTTCAATTAAATTTTGAGGAAGTTGTGGGAATTCGGAAATATTTCAAGTTGTTATTCATCGTAGACTGACATCAGTTGGGGGGAACAAAGGAAACCTGGGAGCACTGGACAGCTTCCATGTATTCC